ATTGTTTCAAAGCAGCTTTATAGAGATAGCGGGGAAATAATGCATAAAAGTTTGTTTCCAGAAGAAAATAGAATCACAGTCCAGCTCAAGTAAGTTCAGTGATGTTTCATTTTAAAAATGTTGGCCCATATTGATAGGATAGCATCTTGCAGTTGATGGAGATTTGTGGGATGCACATCCAGGGTACGAAGCTCCCATTCCAACACATCCCAAAGATGCTCTATTGGGTTGAGATCTGGTGGGGGCCATTCTAGTACAGTAAACTCATTGTCATGTTCAAGAAACCAATTTGAAATGATTCCAGCTTTGTGATATGGTGCATTATCCTGCTGGAAGTAGCCATCAGAGAATGGACATGGTTAGAAACAATGCTCAGGTAGGCCATGGCATTTAAACGATTCCCAATTGTCACTAAGGGGCCTAAAGTGTGCCAAGAAAACGTCCCCCACACCATTACACCACCACTACCAGCCTGCACAGTGGTAACAAGGTATGATGGATCCAAGTTCTCATTCTGTTTGCGCCAAATTCTGACTCTACCATCTGAAAGGCTCAACAGAAATCGAGACTGATCAGACCAGGCAACATTTTTCCAGTCTTCAACTGTCCAATTTTGGTGAGCTCTTGCAAATTGTAGCCTCTTTTCCCATTTGTAGTGGAGATGAGTGATACTAAACCCGGTGGGGTCTTCTGCTGTTGTAGCCCATCCGCCTCAAGGTTGTGCACAACCATGCGACACCCAAAATTGCTTAAATCACCTTTCTTTCCCATACTGACATTCAGTTTGGAGTTTAAGATATTGTCTTGACCAGGACTAAAATGGTTTTGATTCAGGCAGCATTACTGGTCAGAAGTCAGATTGGTTTGGAACAATCAATCAGAATAATATCCAGTTCATCTGGTTGAAGATCGGAGTCACGCCGGGATGGAGATGGGCATGTTGAGGATCTGTGCCGATGACTGTTGTGACGATGAGGGCTTCACAGGGGAGAGGCTACTCAAAGCAAACTCTGCTGACACTTCAGGGATGTGTTATGGTCGTGTCTAGGTTGTGTCCATCTGAACTGGATACACTGCAAAGGTGGCACAGATGCACTTCTGAAGTGGCATTTAGGTTTCTACACAGTTTAATGCTGCTCAGAGGTGGGTCAGAGAATTTTATGCATTTTATGGCTTTAATGCAGCATTTTCATCCTTGCAATAAATTTTGAATCTTTAAAAATTTGATGAGAAATATAATAATAAAAGCACGCTTACCACAGAGAAACATGGAGGAGGAGGTGTAAATGTGTAGGGAGCCTTTTTAGCTGCTGGTACTGATGAGCTAATTCACTGTGAAAAGCCATTTAATGTTTCGGAGTACTGGGGAATATTCCAGAATGGCTCACTTCCCACAATTGAAATGGAACGATCAGATGGTATTTTTCAACAAGACAAATAGCTCCTGATCAAATAGCAAAAACAACCATTAAGTGGCTTCAGGTTTTGGAATTCTTCTGACTTTTTGAACACTTTATTGAATATTTAGTTTCAAATTAAACTCAAATGATGCATTTTTCAACTACTCATGAACTATTTGAAGCCACCAACACCGACAGTAAAAAGCTGTCTGCAAATTTTACCCACATGGCTTAAACATTTAAAGAAAACAAAAAGAAAGGCTGTTCTGTATACTTTATCTACAATATTTGTGCAATTCATGATCATTTCCTAACCAGTGATTTGTAATTAAAATGGTGAAGACCAATAAAAGCCATCTTTGCATTGCCTTTAGCCGTTCCCAGAGAATTGTGTGCAGTTGAAGAACACGTTTGATGAGGAACATGGCTTTGTGAACATGTCATTATTGCCCTTGGAATTTGAGAAAATTAATTTCAATCGTGTTTAGTGGGAATAGTGGAACCTTTTATGTGCCTTTATGACCAGCGTCTGTTCCACACCCCAGCGCTTTTAATGAAACACACATTAATAATTCATAATTAATTACATTTATATAGCGCTTTTCTTGGCACTCAAAGTGCTTTACATAGAGAGGGGAATCTCCTCAACCACCCCAAGTGTGCAGCATCCACCTGGATGATGCGACAGCTGCCATAGAGCGCCAGAACGCTCACCACACACCAGCTTACTGGTGGAGTGGAGACAGTGATTTAGCCAATTGGTATATATGGGGATGATTAGGAGGCCATGATGGACAGAGGCCACTGGGCAAATTTGGCCAGGATGCCGGGGTTAAACCCATACTCTTTTGAAAGACATCCAGGGATTTTTAATGACCACAGAGAGTCAGGACCTCGGTTTAACATCTCATCCGAAGGACGGGCATTAGTATTCATTAGTATTCAAACAAGACACTTGAAATAATAATCTATAATTACAGAATAATACGATACACATCATTGCAACTGCCCACATTTTATGAAAGAAATGTTACATGAATACACCTTAGGATAACAAAAGACAAATTACATTCACACAGAAAAGAACATTTATAGTGGTTGAATTTAGGTGCAGCATAGACACAATACAACTATTCTGATGCAAAGTACAACCTCAAATACCAGGTCGAAAAACGACAAGCGGATATGTATTTGCTACATGAAACATAAACCGTCCTGCAGTGAGTGTTTTGTTTTCACTGAATCACAAATTATTACAAGCAACATAAAAATAACAAAACATCATGAGCAACAGTAATTGGCACACATTCATGAAAAAGAAATTACATTCAAGGAAAATTACATACTGCGGAACTTGATGAGATGATAGAGAGGATGTTTGATTGGGATTTTTTTTAACATGCTGTGATTTGCAATATTAATACTGATTTGTTCTGAACCTAGATTGAGTTGTGTTTCTTGTTTATAGTGGAAGAAATGCAATGCATATTGTAATGCATATAACATATTCAGATGTGATTACAGCTAACAATACAATATTTACATATTTAGGACAAGCACATTACTGCTTTTGTAGCATTGCCTGTCTGTCATCAATTCTGTTTTTTTATGGTTTAATATGGACAAAAGCATAAATCACCCACAATATCAGGGATTTTTCCCCCCCACTTATTTATGAATCACATCAGTTGGCTCATTCATAACAGACCCAAAATAATTGAACTCTTAATGAATTAAATTTCAGTCTGTTGAATAGATTGAAATGTAAATATTGTAAGAGTTCAGAAAGCTTAGAATATAGTGCATGAGTCAGATCTGAATGAAATTAATGGTACATTAGACAGGTGTGAACATCATTGAGTGGCGTAAGATTAATCTGAAGTTCTCCTTTTGTCAAACAGAAATAACTAACGGCATGTTGTTTTTAAATGACATGAGGGTGAGCACATAATGGCGATAATTTTGGGTAAAATATTATGATTATTATGAAAATATAACTATTATAAAAAACTTGCTGAATTTCAGAGAAGAACGGAGTGAGTTTAGGTAACTCTGTGACAAGGAAACACTGGGTGCATTATTTAAATCATACGGAATGTAATTGAATTTAGGCCGAGTGGGTGAAACGTAGAATTAAAGGCATCTTTAGAAGCCACAGGGTCAAATATCAGGAACCTTTTTTTAAATTTAGATTCACATATTGCTTCTGAATCCCTGCCTTTGACACAAGATAGGAAATATGAGTAGCATACACTAGGTAGCAGATTATTGTACCTGATTTCAAAGGTCACATGACCACTACAAGCATGTTGAGAAATATGTCAAACACTGAAAACGTGGCATGAATAGTATAAATTTATTTGTGAAAAAAATAAGCATGTGAATTAGATTATATTGAGAAATATATATATATATATAGGGATAAGCATGTTTTCATACTGTAAATCTTCACACTGAGTTCTTACTAAAGCTAGAAATGTTACATAAATTATGGTCCGATCTCCAGTTTCATATTTAGGGGCCCCTAAAGCAGGTGTTTTTGAATTACTTTACAATGTTCTCACAATATTTGTGATCTGTTTCGTCAAATAACAGATATACTTACATAGCAATCAGAATTAAAAATCGTGCATACTAAAAACAATAAATCTTATTGATGTCTTCCTGAAGTTTCAATTTACGTCTTGTCCAAATAAACAAAGACAACAAATGGCTAATACTGTCTTTATATAAAAATAGTTGAGAAATCAGTGTTATAAAAAGAAAAAGCGGCACTGGCTTTTGCACCCTCTTCAATTTATAAATGTACAGTATATGTATATGTATATATATATATATATATATATATATTAGGGCTGTCAAATGATTAATCATGCACATCCAAAATAAAATGTATATAAAATAAAATTTTACTGTGTATAATTGTATATATATATATATATATATATATATATATATATATATATATATATATATATATATATATATATATATATATATATAATACACACAGATGCTTGTATATATTTAAGAACTATTTTCATGTATACTGTATATAGATTTATATATAATTTATATTACATATAAATATTTTATATATAAATGATATTTTTTCTCTTAAATATACATGCATGTGTGTGTATTTATATATATATATATACAAAATAATTATACACAATACACCCACATATATTATGTAAACAAAAACTTTTATTTTAGATGTGATTAATCGTGATTAATCATTGACAGCCCTAATATATATATATATATATATATATATATATATATATATATATATGAAGAGTTCAGATGCAAAAGCCTCTAAATGCCATTTGAAATTTTCATCTTTAATGATGATTTTTTATCAAACTTGTATATTTAAGTTCAGTAATTTCACTTAAATAACAATTAATAGGTAATTATCATTGCCATTTAAGTGAAATTACTGAACTTAAATATACAAGTTTGATAAAAATCATCATTTAAGAAGAAAATTTCAAATGGCATTTAGAGGCTTTTGCATCTGAACTCTTCATATATATATATATATCGTTGTTTTGTTTTACTTTTTCAGTAAAATATACATTTCTCAGTGTGGTCATTATTTGGATTAGATTTATCTTTCTTTTTTTATCACAAGGACAATCTTATAAGACAAAGAAGTGCATTACATAAAGTATAAGAGCTTAATATTTACACAAACTCCACTGCAGACAGCAGTCAAGCAAACTACAATACTGTGAGGTACAAACACCAGCCAAATAATGCTTGTATTTGTCCAATGAACATTAAATGAAGGTAGCAAAATGTTTTTCAGTGTAAATTCTTGGAGAATTATCTTTTCTCCACCCTTCAGAGAGTATGAGCAGTGAATTATGAACATTTGTTGTAGAAAGGTCCAAGTCAGCCATGTAACTGTCGCTGTAATAAAAAGTTATATAGTATATATATATATATATATATATATATATATATATATATATATATATATATAGATACTACCATGTTCAGTGGCATCAGGCAAAGGGATTCTCTGGTTTGAAGATGGTGCAGTCAATGTCATTGCAGCTTTTGCCATTCAAGTGTTCTGTGTGGCCATCGATGCTGTAACAGCCCTGGACCTCTGTGATGGAGGACGCCGTGTACGAAGCTGACCTCAGAGCATCGGACTGTGTGATGGTGCTTCCAAACTGGATGCGGTACTGATTCCAGTGTCGCCTTAAAACCGCTTGTACCTGGGAGTTTGGACAGATGATCTCAATGAACATACTGTACATCACTTATCATGCAACATTAATAATACATGATCTACTAGCATTTGTAACAAATCACTTGTTTTATAAAATAAAATTGATAATTTAGATATTAAATCTCTAAACACATGGAACCATTTTGGGGTGAGGGTGTCATGACCAAAATCATAAGATTCATTTCACTGTATTTATCACAGTGAATTGTTTTTTTTTTTAATGGATTAATATAATGGTACACTCTAAAAATGCAGGGATGTTTCAACCCGAATTTGGGTCAAATATGGACAAACCCAAATGTTGGGTTAAAAAGGTAATTAAAAAATGTACATTTAATAGTGCTAAAATAGTGCACTACCATGCAACAAAAATCAAAGCAGTAAAACATTTATTATAAAATTTATATTTTACAGTGGTATACTGTATAAACTACGGTTGGTTCTTCAGATTATTAAAATACTACACTGGGGAAAAAAAATTCTTAAATGTTCACTTAAAGGGGCTACATGTAAGAATTTTAATTAATTAATCACAGCTTTATTGACAATGATTGCACAGCTTGTAACAAAACTTAAAAACAAGACCTTCCCTGACTTCCTAGGTTATCTAGGGCCCTATGATTTCCGCGATCACGGAATCGCGGATGGAATTGCGGAATTGACAAATTAACGCGCAATCTAGTGTTAACGCGGAATTTCGTGGAATTTTACATATTTGGTTTGAAATTCTGTTTTGTGTGGGAAAAGAACATATGTCTGATGAAAACGCAGACCGGGGGAAGCAAATCTGGGCAACACACCCCCCCCACCCTGTCATTTCAGCTGCAATGACGAAATCAAAACAGTCAAAGCATGGCGAAGCGACTCTCCATGGCTTTGCTTTCGTCGGCAAAAAGTTAAGAAACTCAAAGCTATAAGCCATCAGTGCCGAGCCGAGCAGTTCACACTTGACTTTTATAATTTGCGACGACAAAATCAACTCCGGCCGCCACATATTGCGTTTCGTTCATTTTTTAACACCATTTAAAACACTTAGCGTATTCTTTCAGTTGTATTTCCCTTCTCCGCTCTCCCTCCATCTCTCTATCACTCACGCGTCTGTCTATGAGGCGCTGGACTGGACAAAAGCGAAGTAAACTCCGTGAGCGACACTGGCCGAGAGAGAGACAGATTGAGACTTTATTTAAACTTATATAAACAAATATAATTTATTTTACTGGACAGTTTAAAGGTGCCATATGGAATAATTGAGGTAAAAATATCCAAAAAATGAGCTACACACATCAAAAGAATGAGAAGTGCAATGATGTAATTAAAAAACTGACAAGTTATAGTGCTGCCAAGATATAAACCTAAATTAGCACGCTAAATTACTAGCCCTGGCCCGGCAGGTGTCGTAATACCAGTTTCGGCCATGGGAGGCGATATGCGGGCGGGCAACATAACCACCAGCCAAACTGCAATAGACGAGTAACTCGCGTGGCTTGTGTGTACTTGAACATGATGTCAGTCGTGTGGAAAATACAGCCTACTAAATTTCAGTTCAGGGATGAGTTAAAAAAATGATTGGTTGATAATATTATGCATGAGGAATACATTTTGGTAAGTTGTAACATACTGTATCTTTCAACAGTGTTAGTGTTCCTTTACCATTAGCAGCTAGCTAGTAGAGATGATCGGTTCACGTGCTTTGGATCTGTCGTGTAACATTTACAAGCGGCAAAACTGCATTTATTGTTTGAATTGCGTAATAAAATTAACAGAATCTGTGAGCTGAGATCGGTCTCTGTGTCCTTTTCTGTGCATGACAAAATGGATGTGTGGCGTGAGAGTGTGTGAAAAGTATCAGTTGTGTGTCTCACAGTAAATTTGTGAGAGTTGGCAGCTCTGAAAGGCGCTAGCTTGGTCCACATCAGGGAATGCTGTCTGTCAAATTAATTCAAACTAATTATAAAAATGTAACATGAACAAAACGAATACCATAAACTATAAATAATAGCCTGGGCTTTAATTTTTCCATTTCGTCAAAATGCACCAGCTTGTCTATGAGACGGCCTTTATAATTTAGTATTGAGATGTTGTTCATTTAGTCTCTAATCTCTGAAAATCTCCAAATGATCCACGTGAAACTGCGGTCTTCCAACCTTTTACTATCGTGTCAATTAATTTGATTAATATGCGCGAGGGAGACAGAGCAACACAGCGCTCGCCCGTGTTGTTTGAAGACATGAGAGTGCGCGCGGCCGCGGAGGTATTTCTGGAGGTCTGTTACCTCAATAAATTATTTGGACAGCTTCCCTCTGAGTCAGACAGTTTTTTTTTATGTGAAGGATTCGAGACGTTTTTTTTATTTATTTTTTTTGGGAAAATCTAAAGGATGTGAAATTTACATGCCTGAGAGTTTCTTTCAACACTGTAAAACCGGATAAGTTAATATAACTCAAAAAAATAGTTGAAACTGATTACATCGAAAATTTTAAGTGATATTAACTAAATTTTATAAGTTAAAGTAACATAATTTTTTTAAGTAAATGGTACTAGATAATGTTAAGTGATCCAAACTTGATATTACAAGTTAATGTAACATTATTAATCAAGTAATTTTACAAGGAGTTTTTTGGGTTCACATAACTTATTTAAAATTAAAGATAACTTGCATTTCTTTGTAAGAATACAATTTATTTTACCTTCATTAAAACATTTTAGTTAAAATTTCTCTGTAACAAATTACTCAATTTATTATTTTTTGTACGTTCTTAGATTTGTCATCAAATAACTAAATTTCCAACTATAACCCATTCTGAAATAAAATAAAACAGATTAACACAGACAATTTAAATGCAATTAACTCTTTTATTAAAGTAACCACAAAACACCAACAATAAATTGTTTGTCAAAATACTCAAGGCCCTTCAGAAATGGTCTGAGATAACCATCAACTGGACAATATGGGTATCTCCCAGCTGTAAACACTTCCAGTCAAGTAGAAACAATATTCAAAATTAACACATAGCAGTAACCTTAAAGGGATAGTTCACTTTGAAATTAATTTGATAGGTTTTAGCTATCAGTCTAAATATGATCACAAAAACCGCTCGTTTCGTGTCTTAGGCCTTCAATGTGTACTTACATTTACAAGTCATTAAAACATGTTTAATTTGGACTTCTCTGTGCATGCTCTTTGACGTGGACCCCCTTAGCCTCCAGTGTATGACTGATAGACAACAACTGTTTGACTGAAAAATGTCAAAATTGAAAATGCTGTGGAAACAAAGACACCTACATCCTAGATGCCCTTGAGGGAAGATAAAACATATCAAAAATTATTTTCAAAGTGAACAATCCCTTTAACAATATTAAGAGTTATATATTATAATATAATATATAAATATATATATATATATATATATATATATATAAACAGTCTTTAAACCATCATCTGAGTGGTATATATAATTTCTAACATGGTAGTCATTTTTTACACAATAAACAACCCGGTCTCATCCCAAGACGTCATATAACTGACGTTTTGGGACGTCTTTTGACCATACGTCAATATCCGCCTTTTTAGGGCCCCCTTAAACGTCGGTAGATGAGGTTATAGGATCCTAACTCTACCCCAGACCTAAACTTAACCCTAAACCCAACCCGTCACCTTACTGACGTTAAAGGTAAAGCGTCAGTTGTATGACGGCCCGGGATCGCCATCTACCGACGTTTAAGGGGACCCTAAAAAGGCGGATATTGACGTATGGTCAAAAAACGCCCCAAGACGTCAGTTATATGACTTTTTGGGATGAGACTGTGTTACAATAAATCAACTGAGAAACTGTTCTGCGAATTACACAATTGGAAAATAGTGTAAAAATCCAATATTGACAATCAAATTTCTCAATGATTTACTGAACTGCATATAATGATCTACTATGTAATGTACTAGGCTATGTATTAGCATACATAAATCAAAGATGATTACTACAGTGTAAACTGCAAAGCACTACGTTGTCTGTCATTGTATAACACATCAAAACAGTGCAAACATGCCAACTTGAAGAGCAACACATTTAAACTGTATGTTGAACAATCATACTTCAAAAAACATAAGTAAGCTGTTTTCCCAAAAAAAAAAAAAAAAAATTCCGTTCACTATGGTGCGTGCTAAAAGTGAAAGGAGTGAAATTTTACATGAAATGTCAAATAAAGGAGTACCTTTGTAATCGTTGTTCAAACACTGAGGTTACTCCACTGCAAAAAGCTCATTTTTAAGACTCAATACTCTGGGCCTTAGCTTCCCATGCTCCAGACCCATCAAGACTTTCTGAGTAAAGTCAAATGTGTTGGCCAACTCTTTTGGGTAACTTTGATCCAATGCGTAAGTTAGTCCAAATAGCATGCTAAATGCATCGGCGAATGTGGAAAAATCGATTACCATGTTACCCTCAAGCACAACTGCAATCTTCTCTGGGCAGAAGAACGTGGCATCTGTTGAATTGCCACAAATGGAGAGGAGACCGAGTGGTACATCATCAATTCCTGGCTCATTAGATTGTTCAACCTGAAGACAAGAACAAAGAACTGTTACTCTAAACTTCCAAAGGATGACTGCTAATAAGTTACAAATATTTACATCTATTTCAAACCATTCTATCCCATACAGTAACTACAATTGACTTTATGCACAGCTGCACTACTTCATGAACTTCAGCCAGCTCCTTGTTTCCTGTCTGCCATTATTGGGCAAACTTGATTAATTCAGGTGTGTCTGATTATTGTTGCCGTGACTACTGAGGTCAGGCACACCTGAATTAATCAATTTATCCAATAATGGCAGACAGGAAACAAGGAGCTGGCTTAAGTTCAGGAAGTAGTGCAGCTGTGCATAAAGCCAATTCTAATTAATATATTAAAAACATGGAACTTGAACCAGGCTGACATCTGAATGGCGATGTGAGATTGTTGGTAATCAAACAGTGCAACACTTACATCCCACGTCTTGAGAAAGTTGGAGTCATCCTCTTGCAGATAGGCGGGGAGAGCACAGAGGATGGCAGCTCGTCGTACATGGACGTCCATGTTTTCCTTCAGTGTGAGAATTATGCCGAGTTCAGACTGCATGATTTTAGCCACGATTTTGGCTCGCCGACAGGTTTTGAGAAATCGGCGACAAATGCCCGAAATCACGGGCAAATCGGCGCTCGTTCACGCGAGTGACAATCACGCAGTGTGAATGAACAAAGACGCGAACTGAGAGAATCACCGACGAGTCGCCGACGCCCGTGAGATATTTGGCATGCTAAATATCTGGACCTGTCGGCGATTCAAAATCCTGCTGTGTGAAAAGTGTTTTGACTGAAAACTACATCGGCGATCACCGGCAGCCAGTGAGAGAGCAAGATACAGAGCAGCAGGGAGTTCGGGGAGGAGTTATAGATCACATATCAACATGATATGGCTTTGTTTAAAAAAAAAAAGCTTCTTCTCGGTCTATTTGGACACAATAAATGGAAGAAAAATTAGTAGAAATTTGGCAGGAGCACTCGTGTCTGTTTCACCAGCTGTACCACAACCGGGTCGAAAAAAAAGTCTCACGTGAGAACTCCGGTCTTGCACGTGTGGTGTCGCGCGTTGTTTCCTTTTCATATCTCACGCGTGTTTGTTGTGAAATGTAGTTTGCGTGCAGCGTGCTAGACAGAGTCTGTCGGCGATTTTTCTAAAGTCATGCAGTGTGAAACCTTCTGTCGCCGATCCATCGTCCAGTGTGAACACAGCAGCGACTGAATGCTGGCCAAGATAGTCATGCAGTGTGAAAAGAGCAGCGACCTGACTACTTTGAAAATCGTGCAGTCTGAAAGAGCCATTAGAGACACGAGTATGAGAATCTTCATTTAAAGGGATAGTTCACTTTGAAATTAATTTTTGATATGTATAGCTTACCTCAAGGTAATGTCTTGTATAGCCATCTCTGATACATGATGAACACTCTGCATTTTCAAGAACAAAGAAACATTAATTTTTTTCTGCAATTTGTGTTGTGCACTCAATATTCAATCACATTTTAGCATCTCTATGCAATGAATGTGTATTAATAATTGGAAATGAACATACCAAAATGAACTGCCAGCTGCTTCACTTTTAGCCTGAAAAAAGAGAAATTGAGAAGTTAGTCAGGTTGTAATATTTGCCTAAAGACAAGTAAAAATGTGAATACACGACGCTTATCAGTTGTGTAAATAGGCATCATGCTCAGTCACTCTGAAATCTTAAACGTTTAATTGAAATATTTTTATACTGCAAAATTTGCTTTTTAAAATGTCACATTTTAAGCAAAAACAAATATGCCTCCACTAAATAACACAAGCTGCTTTGGCAATCTATTTAAATACAATTTTATAAATGCCTGTTCTAAAAAAATGTACAACAAAAAGTGCATCAAATTATTGTCAAACCTCTATGAAAACCGCGTGCCAAATAAATTCTCAGTCACAGCCCGCCATTTTGAGGTCATAAAAACATGTTGCCTGAAAACTTTAATGTGCAAATCGAGGCAGATTACCGATGCACATTAACCGATGCAAAAGACAGACTTGATATATCTAAAAAAATTAACTAAATACACTTGCTTCAACACTTGTAAAATGTCTAATTTTCTCACGAGATATTCTTATTTGCTTTCAAATGCATAAAATACGATGCACATTGACCGAAGCAAAAAGACAGACTTGATATCTAAAAAAACTAACGTTAACCAAATACACTTGCTCAACACTTGTAAAATGTATCATTTTCTCACGAGATATTCTTTTATGCTTTCAAATGCATAAAATACGATGCACATTAACCGATGCAAAAAGACAAACTTGATATCTAAAAAAAATAACTAAATAGAGTTGCTTCAACACTTGTAAAATGTATCATTTTTTCACGAGACATTCTTATTTGCTTTCAAATGCATAAAATACATTAACTGCGAAGACATTAAAACTATTTGCAGAAAATAAAACAGGGAACTTACCAGATTAGCGTGCCCGAAGAGAAGAGGAATAAAATGCTAGGCAGCACAACGAAGAAAAGAGTGTCACCAGCAGGTTCAGAAAACTGCATGCCGCGTTTCCCATCAAAGGTCCTCACAGGCAACACCACTGCAAATTCCCGATCGAAAAATATCACCACCTATTATATTCTTATAAAATATGATTGAGTTTTCACGTTTGGCAAACTTAACAAATTTTCAGAGAGGCGAGCAACTAAAACATGGCGTGTTTTCGCGCACTTCCAACTAAAGTTGAAGGAGGAGCACGTGCGTGACGTCAGACAGTAACAGTTAACTATTTTGAGTGCACTAACTAAAATAAATGAAAGCATTTGATTGCTGTAAACTTAAAATTTCACTTTCGTTTTAATTACACAAAAAATTAAAGGCGAATTAACGTTTTTATTTTTTTGAGTAATTGCAACCCATTTTATTTATCTAAGTTGTACTGTTTGGTTTTACAGTGAATGATACATGAAATGAATGCTCATTCAATGTTCAGGATAAAGCCAACAGAGCTATTCTGAAATGTAAATGTGTCATGCTAAAAAAAGGGATTATTTCAAATGTCTTAGATCTATATAGCCTACAGTCTCAAATACAGGCTAGTTTATTATCAAATTATTATTACAGCGATCTACGACATGATGGCAGTGAATTGCAGAGCTGGTGCTAACATATTCACATCACCATGATCTGATGCTTTCTTAACTGCTGTTTTCTCACCGCTGTCAGTTATGTTGTGTGTTTATTTTGTTATTGAGAGAAAAGCGTGCATCACATTACATATTCATCTAATCGTCACTCTCAGCAGTGTGGACGGCATCTGGTTGTTCGTCAAAAGTATATAGTTGTCAAGGTATTCAACTTTTTTTACTTTTACTTTTTGAACAATATCGGGACATTGAATCACGTTCAGTCTCTTGTATGTTACGTGTGCACGAGTGCGAGCACAAGCAATAAGTTGTTGGCTGCAGTTCACTAAACGGCCACTGGTGTCGCTATTAACAAGGGTCTCTGAATTCTACATATAGCCCCTTTAGGGAATTTTTTGGGGAAGCAAAAATGTTTCTACTAAGCCATTGCTGTGAAAACCTCCTTTTGGAACCTTTCGTCATACATTCTGAAAGCAATACAGCAAACACTGTAGCTGATATAACGTCATAGCATCAGCCATCAATTCAAGCACACAGGCTGGATTAACTGCCAGACCGGTAATGTCATCCGTATTAGCTTCTGCATGCCTCATTACCACATTGCCTCTAAAACAAAATGATTTGGACAGCTTCCCTCTGAGTCAGGCTTCTCATATTGGTAATTGTGGACATCTGCCAATGTTTTTAGGATTTACATAGCCAATCCAGAATCTCCATATCTGAGCTCTGCTTTCAAGGAAAATTATGTTGCACAATCCGTGCAGATAAACAGGAAATGTTTCATTTTAGTAGGGTTAATTCTTACCTCTCCGTTGAAAAAGCAGAAGATTGTGGCCACCAACAGTCCCTTAAACATACAATCAGAAATGCACGTCAGCAGTAAATCTGCATAAACTGCTATGTTGCATTGCTAAACTATAATCTCCCATATCGCAACTTCTTCACATTTCTCGGCTGGTGGTGAGTGCTGTTCTCCCTTGTGTTTTCACACATTTTGGCAGCAAGTGCTCTTGATGTGTGTGATGTGCACAAAGAGTCATCTGGGATGACAAGCCTGTTTTGTTGCATTATTCATTGTGCCGATTCAGCTAGGTCTAGCAGTTCCAGCTGTCCAAGGCTTCTCACTCTACTGTTTTCTCCACAACTGACTACAAATTATTATTTTCTTGTTGCTGTACACCTACCAATTTCAGAATAAATGTTCAGGAGGCAATTTTTTAGACTTTTAAAGACTTTTAAGAGGCAAGTGGCCTGATGTTTTTTTAATTAAATGGTTCACCCCGCCCAGAAGGGATATTTACGTTTGCTATGCTGTTATTTCTTCAGTAGAACTTAAAGGAAATCAAAATGTGATGTGAGTAATGACTTACACTTTGGCCTGCACTTTTTACGGGACATTCATAGTGTTGTTTAATGGATAAGACCAGTGTGGAAAACTTATTTTGTTTACCACAGAAAAAATAACAGAATATGGTTTAGGAACAATGTGAGGATTAGTGATTTTGGCAGCAAGAGAATATCTAAAGAGACAAGTTTTCCCCTCTGGCCAGTAACAACAGAGCTTCTGTTGTCATTTACTTTACAAGCTTTTTACAAACTAATGGCAAAGTAAACTTAATTAAAGGCTGCTGAACTTCTGCCAGTCAAAGAGATAAAGAGAATGGGAAATCCAGTCTTGTAATGTACCACTCCACAAGTGCAAAATACAAGTAAAAATGAGCATTTATATAGGCAAATACAAGAAAATAATTAAAGTTAGGAACTGCAAAATAATATTTGTTTGAAATATAATTGAGAATTATAGTCTGGCCCTCACTTAAAGGGTACATATCATGCTTTTAAATCATTAATTTTTACATATAAATCATACCGTTGTGGTCTATATAAAACATAACTGCAATGCTTGGGTCTGAATTCCTCATTATTACAGCTCCACAGGCCCCTTTTCTACCCCTTTTCTGATGTGCATCTTTGAGCGACCCGTTTTAATGCGTCCCCTTTAAATAAAAAGAAGATGCGTCACACCCCGCCCACTCTCCAGGTCGATGAGTTCACGGTCGGTTCAACTCCCCGTTCGGCCATTTTTGTTGTAGTTTGATTGGAGATATACGATTATATACTATACCTTCAAAGAACATTTTTATTCACACTTTAATAAAATGTCAACAACAGAAGAATTGTCCTTCAAGCCTTACATATTCGAGCCAGAGCGAGCGAGTTGATAAAGACTACGAAGAACCAGAACCTGCAGAACAATGTGAGTTAACTGTTTAGTGTTATTAGTGAAAGTCGACTATTTCTCTTGTTAAAATAAGCACACTGACAAGATAAATGACTACGGTCTAATCTTACCACAAAAAAAATCTGTATTGACAATATGATACGTTTAGAAAAGCATCTGAAAACAACGCAGCTACATGACCATTAATGAAACTCAAGAACAATAATACTGCAGACGTGTAACGTTACTTCAAAACAAAAACAAAGAAAGACAAAGGTACTGCTAAACCATGACCACCATGTGTTTTAAGAAAGTAAAGTACTTTATTTTTATTAACGATATTTACAGCTTATCGAAATGCTCTGTTCGTCGTCTCCAAAGATAAAAGGAATTTAACGTTACCTCTCATTCAGACAAAGTCAATCGGCAAACCCTTCTTTATACTGGCGGAGGTTGTTGAAGTGAGAATCCTTGAAGTGCTTCAGGTCACAAACGTACATCCGAAAACCGAACATTTTGACTTGCCCTCTCGTAACTTCTGCATCATTGAGCTCGGACTACAAAATCGGAGCGAGAAATAATAATGGCGGATTGCTCGAAGTTTTGGACCGGTAGTCAATGTCTTTATTTGGCAGTTCCGCTGCAAATACGGTGACGCACTTGCTCAAAAAACGTCATAGACAAAAAAAAAAAAAACCTGAACAGGTTGAAAAATATGACCAAAACAGAATATAAAGATATAAACGAAGCACCTGAAGAGAATAATTTCATCTTTTCTGTACTTATAAACACTCCAAATATACAACAAAATGCATTTAAGGGCTAAAAAAGTGGATTTTGCATGATATGTCCCCTTTAAATAGGCCACCTACACGTGAAGTTTCAGGAGTGACAACCACATTTAAATAATGTGAGTCGTGTGCCACATTTAAATAATGTTCGGGGGCATTAATGTTCAAAAAATTATGGGGGCATTAAATTGGGCAGGTGCAGGTCACGATATTTTGGTCTTGTAAATATAAAACACATGGATTTATCTTAGTGTATTATGGGCTTCCTCTTCTTGATTGTTTTTTTCTAGCAACATGAATGAGACAAAGATCGTACCAATTTCCCTGTGGTTTTCTTGCACTGCACAGATAAGAGAGACACATATCTGATGCGTGTTTAAATATGCCATTAACAACTAATTGTTCAATTCGGTTCCATACAGTACATAGTGCATAGAATGTTTTAATGCGGTTGTTAATCCGGTTGTAGAATGCGGTTGTCACTCCCGTACATTACTGAATTGTGTGTGTACAGAACAGGATTAAGCACTAAAAAGTGAACTGACAAACAAATTAAACTGCTGTGTGTACGTGGCATAAGTGATATGAGATAAACCATCAACTATAATTGAAAATAAATTATGGCCATTAGAGAGTAAAGCAAAGATTAATTTTGGGCCCTGAATGTACATGTCAGATTGATGATAACTATTTGACAGCTTTTTACCTGATAATGCATTAAGATATGCATGATGTAGTCGTAGATTTCAGAGGAAACGCGCCCTGCAGGTTTATATGGGAGGAGAACATACTGTATGCCCAGGAGTGGAACCAAAATGAGGGTTGCGCGGACAGCTTTCATATACAGACTAGACTCAGCTTGGTGTGTTACTTTCAGTTTGGTGATGAGAACTCGTACGATGTTCAGCAGAAAGAACAAGTTCACCTGGAAGGACAGGCAAGATGATTGGAAAAGCAAAGGCAAAAGATCTCAGCTGGCTGGCAGATCATGTCAGATGTCAATATGCAAACCGCTTTAGCATGCTGGTGTTCTTTTTGATGTACTGATACATTGTGCTTGGCTTGAAAATAAATTCAGATTGGTGAATACAATGTTCTGGATGTAATTTGCACAAAAAATACACAAAGATTATAATTAATGATGCACAAAAAGAATGTGTTTTGAAAACTAAAAGGACAAAAACATCCAGATGTCTTACCAGTAGTGCAGCACAGATGGGTCCATGAATAATGTATAGCAGAGAAGTATTTGAGCTGATCCAACAACTGTGGATTAGGAAGGCTTGGGTTAGCCAAATGTTCAATAATGATCCCTTAAAAAGGATTATTTTGTGCAATAATTACTTTGATTCATGTGGATTTAGGTAAGCATCTTAATAAAAAAAAAACTTTTGTTTTTGAGTGTAGCGTATACAAGTACAAATAAATGAAATATCAAAAATAAAAAGTATCACTAAACTTTCCCAGATGTTTGATTACATTAAGAATTGTAAACATTCAGCTTTCTAAAATGCAATGTTTAAATATGCACTAATTTACATAAATGTCCAGAACAGAAATCTGAACAGTGGATAAAGTTTTCATTTTGTTGATATACAGTATTACAGGCAAAGGAAATCGATTTTGGATATCTTTTTTATCACACCATAAATCATAAAACACTGTCAACAGCCAGATAAAAAAATCATGTTTTAAGAATACAATGTGTAAAAACAGGCAAATGTATGTGCACAAACCCCTCAGTAAAATAAAAACCTTCAGCATAGGAATAAAACTGGAAAGTTTGGGGTATGCACTTGCTACTGAGATTTCTGGCTCAGTGTACAAACAAAACTCATTGTCAAAAAGAAGCCTTTAAGATATGTATTGTAATTTAAATCTACAGACACAAATAAATAAAGTGCAATAACATACAAACTTTTTTTTTTTTTTCTAATGATTTACTTTAATGACCACACAGCCAGGCTGGTGGAATTTGTTTTCAGTACAGCTCATTTCTTGGGTGCAGGTTCCAGAAAATACCTTCCACCAGCCTGGCTGTGTGGTCATTAAAGTAAATCAACTTAAAAGTGTATTAAAAAAATTCACATTAGACCAAACAACATGTTATGAAAAAATGAATCTCAAAATTGACCAGTGCATGAAAAAAAAATGTTTTGCCTGAAAGCTACAAAACGTTCTGTCGGATGACGACAAATTCGTTTTCACTTAAAATGCCTATCGGCTTCGAGTATTGCAAAACGAGCCAATGGCAAAGAAATGCCTTGGCATGCAGATTTTGCATAGCGTATCTCCGCCTTGCCTCGTGGGTATAAAATGAGGACGCCGGCAATATGCAGGTACTGTATGTTTCTTCAGTGAGGAGCCAAGACTTCCAGCGGTACAGCGGAAGGTGACAGGAAGACAGAACGTCTCCGTTCCCTACTCAGGGAATGAGGGTTACATACATAACCGAGACGTTCCCTTTCGTTGTCACTCCGAGTTCCGTCGGATGGCGACGAATGGGGTTACGCTAAACACGCCACCTTCACAGGTGTCTTCCAGTGCTCTGCGTAAATCTGAGATCCCTGTCATAAGGCTCGTACGGGCGAAGGACTCCGATCGAGCACAGGAAGTTAGAGGAATATGCAATTACTGCCAACCCAGAGGGGGGTTACACATATGACCCGAAGGATGCATATGGGTAATCACTGGGGTGTCCAGCTGCAGGTGGAATATTTCAACCCCAGGGGTGGCAAGGTGGCTTACCAAGGCAAAGACACATGCTCAGAGAGACTTACAGTGGAAATACACGTGTGGGGGTCGCTCAGGGAGGGACCATGCACACGGGAGGCACCTAGCCAACATGCAGGCCGCCGCCTAGCAAACACTGACGTCGGCGTCAGCTGTGCTGAGGAACTCAGGGCTTGTGAGGCTCACCTGAGAAATATATTGCACGCATCCAGTCCGAGGAATGGAATGGCGAGCAAGCGAAGACACCTGAGCGGGTCCTAGTACCGGCTGGTTGAAGCGAGTACATGAGCGGACACAGGCTCCACTCGGAGATTGTAAAATCTGGCGAATGTGTTGGGTATCGCCCAGCCTGAAGCTCTGCAGGTGTATGTTAGTGAGGCACCATACGCTAGAGCCCAAGAGGATGCCACACTCTGGTGGAGTGGGCAGTCACACCAAGGGGACACGGTCGACCTTGCTGCTGGTATGCCAAGCAATGGTGTCCACTATCCAGAGGGACAGCTTTGTTTGGAGAGAGCCTGTCCCTTCAGCTTCCCACCATAACAGACAAAGAGCCGGTCTGAGGTCCTGAAACACTGCGTCCTGTCTACGTAGGCATGGAGAGTGTGTAGTGGACAGAGCAGTGCCAAGGCTGGGTCTGCCTCCTCCAGGGGTAGCGCTTGCAGGTTCATCACCTGGTCCCGTAAGGGAGTGGTAGGAACCTTGGGCACATATCCAGGCTGGGGTCTCAGGATCACTTGAGAGTAGGCTGGCCCAAATTCCAGGCATGCTTCCTCAACAGAGAATGCATGCAGGTCCCCTACCCTATTGATGGAAGCCAAATGCAACCAGGAGCACTGTCTTTATTGACAGGAATTTAAGCTCTACTGATTACAAGGGCTCAAAGGGAGCACTCTGCAGGGCAGTTAGAACCACTGAGAGGTCTCAGGAGGCATAGCATAGCTATGAACTCTGGATCAAACTCATTATGCTAGTACATCCAAGTACAGCAGCACAGACGAGCCATCATCTCTAGAGGACTCCAGCTCACTTTGTGAAGCGGCGACATACATGATTTAATCAGCTGGGGGACCGAATGAGACCGTGGGCCCACGAGCGGGCTGGCGAACTCACTTGGGACCATGTGGGTTGCAATGTGAAAGACGGGGTGTGGGCGGAGGAATTTTCATCAGTTTAGTTCCAGACCTGCCGTCTTAGGTCACCCTGGCCACCAGCCGAAGTATTACCTCACGTGGAGAAAAATAGATTGCATTGATAGAGTGAGGGGACTCTCACTCTATTGAGCTCATCGAGTCATCAGATCGTTACATTGCGATAGTCACGTTCCCACTGGGAGAACATGACACACCCACGAGCGCTGTCTGAGCGCGATCGAAGCCCAAACAGTTCAAAACAGCGCTCGCGCCCATCAGCTGAGTCTATCAGAATACCGCACTCGGAAATAAACGGGCAGATCGTCTTTAGAAAGATGCGTCTTTAAAAAGACGTGCCACATGCACACTCTTTTTGTGACAGAAAAAGCTCGCAGCAGTGCTGAAGCACCCAGGGAGAAACACACACGCTGTTCAGTTCAGCAAACAGGCATATGAAACTCGCCATCACACCAATACCGACTGGAAGCTGCTCGTCTTGAAGATTCTCGAAGATAGTGAGTGAATAGGCTACAGGAATAAAGAAAACTCTTGGCTCCGAAGCGAAAACATACCTGCAAATTGCCGGCATCCTCCTTTAATACCCAACGAGGTTAGGCGGAGATACGCTATGCATAATCCTCAAACCCATGGCATTTTTTTGCCATTGGCTCGTTTTGTAATACTCAAAGTCGATAGGCTTTCTAAGCGAAACCCCAATCATCGTCATCCGACGTAACTCCGAGTGACAATGAAAGGGAACAAGTATACTCACTTATCATTGTAGTAATAACTTCTGGCTACAGCATGTATTGTCGCGGGTATAAGTGGGAAACCTGTTGTTTAAAAAAAAAAGATATGGTTTAAAAAAATGTAGGTTTAGTTTATTCAATCAACGCTGTAAATAAAATGTTTAGATTTATTCAAAAACTCACCCCATCCAAGAAGGTAGTACCACATTAAATGCTGTTTTTCAGCAAACACTGCCACAACAATGAGAGTGTGCAAGTAAATCCCTTCACAGAGCATCCAGAAGTAGTTGCATACAAAGGTGTAAAGATGGATAAATTGTGATACTTTGCAGCTGACCTGAATAAAAGTAGCACAGACATTTAAAGGGTGATTAGTACAGCAGATTGATGACATACTGTAATGTCTTAAAATGATCAAAGGAAAATACTGCCTTCATTTATCCAACCCACAAGCCTGCATTATATTGAAATATATGCAAATTTCTCACAGGAAGAAAAAATAAACATACCAGTTTGGGATGACATCGGGATGACAAAATTACAATATTTCATTTTCTTTATAGAAGTTAATGTCAGCACACACTTACTGGGTTTTGCTGAACTAATTCCTGGTTGTTTGCCACTGCTGTTAACCATATGGTAGTGATGATGGAGTTTAATACAAAGGAAAAGAAAAGATTTTTGTGCAGGGTAATTCTCTGACAGCTCAAACTCCTATAAGCACAAAAAAGGCAGCAAAATAATAAAAATTACTGTGATGAGCATTAAACGGAAATACAATAGTGAGAGAGACATTTGCACTTACTTGAAATGGAAGAATATGCCTAGTGAGATGAACAAAGATGTCAAAGAGAGCCCATGACCTATTAATGCTAAGTAGAACAAGTTCATTGCCGTCTGCAATCACACAAACAATAGAGTGATGAAGTGTTTATACCACAAGCCCATTCAAATGTGTGTTTATTTTCATCTCAAGTGACTGTAGTGTTTATGCTCATACCCTTCGTCCTTCAGTGGTGTGCAAATTACATCTGGTGAAATTTGTCCATGTTCGGTTACTCGCAGGATGCAAGAACCACTGCCCACTTTCTGTACATATTTTGCTGACCATTTCTGCAAAAGAAGAAGTAGTTTAAAATATGTTACTGTGAGAAGCATCAATATTAAGATATGGAGACCAGAAAGTGAAAAGTTTTATTCACTTGTAAAATGAAGCTTTTCAGCATGTCTGAATGCCATATCTTGATAATATTGGCTTCTCTTAATAACATTTTGAGGTAAGGCATGTCATAATACTCCTGTCTTATATATAGTATGTGATGTGCTTTATTGAATTTAATATTTTATTATAGTTATTTACCTTTTTATTGTATTCATAGATCTGAAATACTGTATAATATATTTTTTTCCTCTTGCTTCTTTTTTCCAGTGTTTGTTTGGTTCTGTGAAAGTGGTTAAACACCCAGCCTCCAAAAAAAAAAAAAAAGACCAAAATAATGGCTAAAGTACTATTTTACTGGTATTTTTCTGAGCACCTTTTAAGATAAGTGTTAGAAATTATTAAAATAACTTAAAGGAGAACTCCGGCGCATAATGAGGGTCCGTACATACTGTACAAACCGAAGCATTGAGAACTTTGTAAGTGTACAGACAGTTTAATAATAAGATATTTTATAAAGACAGTTCACTTTGTGTATACAGGAAAACAGTCACGACAAGTTGAACCACGAACGCCGTTCATACAGTTCAGAAGTTCAAAGATGGCTCCTGTCTGGAAGTGAACTGTCTTTATAACGTATCTTCTTATTAAACGGTCTGTACACTTAAAGGTCCCCTGACATGAAATTTTCATTTTCTGAGGTTTTTTAACATTAATATGAGTTCCCCTAGACTGTATTTGGTCCCCTCGTGTCTAGAATTTTCAATCGGTGTAAACCGAGCTTTGGCTATTTTTCTCTTCTCTGCATCCGTCTGCATCTCAGACGCGCTGATCTAGAATCTCCCCCTATATAACGTCATATACGGGAAAGGTTACTCCCCTTTCTCTGCTTTGCACACCCAGAGAATTTGGCCCGACGATGAGAAAACGAGCTAGGAACAGGAAGTACGAACACATGCAGGCACGATTTTATTTTTTCCTAGAGAAATAGGAGATTTGAGTTTTTCCTCGAGAGATATCATGGCTTGCAAACGAGCGAAGCATGGCAGTTGCTCAGTGTTCATTCGTTTCATTGAGTAGGATGAAAATAATCTTATTTAAAGAAAGTGTTTAGCAGGATTGATATTCTAAAGGGTAAGCACGCGCTGCTTTGTTTACGATATGTATATCTGCAGCCCCGGCAGCGTCGGTTTTCCTTTTTGAATGACGAATATAGACTAATAACGTTATATCTGCAGAAATAGACAGTTGGCTTATTAAACGTAGGTGCAGAACGCACAGCTGACAGTCGCCTGTAGTTCTCTCGATGTGTTCAAGTGCAGCTTTTTACCTCGACGAGAGCAGACGAGTTTCGGGCTTTAGAGAGAACAGAAACACTGTGTGGTGAGCAGGATGGCCGAGGGATGTGAGAGAAAGTCGCGAGGCCGGTGGTGCGATTGCTAATGAGCAGCACCTGTGAAGCACACCGGTCTCGCATCTCTCACGGAGGAGCAGAGGCCATAAAGGGGGAGCGATGGAGTGGATGATCGAGAGAGGAACAGGCCTGCTTTTGTTTTTGTTTTATATTTTATTTTGGGTAAGCCAGCAGTCGTCCGCGAGTGGCTGCTGGCCGGTATTTATGTTTTATTTTGGGTAGCCAGCAGTCGTCCGCGAGGGGCTGCTGGCAGGTAATTTGTTTATTTTGTTTAAATAAAGTTGTATTTTTTATTTGTCATCCGGTTCCTGCCTCCTTCTTCCCTGAACCTTGCTACACACTGCACAACGAAGCTCTGGCAGATTATTTGTATTATATATGTACAATAACATATCGATGTCTAGCAATCAATTAAACTAATACATTGTGTTTCATTTGTCGTTTAATGAGATGTAATATGTGTTTGTGGCAAGAATTTTCACGTGATGAAATACAGAGATCTGATAATGACACACAAGCATTTCTTTAGTCCAGTGGCAGAACTTTTGCCAAGCGTGACAGAGGTTCTGGGTTCTAATTCCGCACTCGTATAATTTTTTTTCTCTCTCTGATTAAAACCGATTATGTTTATACTTTGTGATTTCACCGGATCGAATATAGTCTCCACAACGGATTAAAGCGCGAGTCCGTGTGAAACTGTGTGCGACAGCGCGAGCCACAAGAGAACTGTATCCACGCCACTGATCGCAGCGGCAACGAGCACTTTGACCACTTGTTTTCAAAAGCAACACATTTCAGCGCTAGATCGCCTCTTATTTAAAGAAACGAAATAAATGAATGCTCTGCTAGTTAACTAGAGATGATTTATTTATTTGTATAATTTGCATCCGAGAGATGTTTCAAAAGTGGTGGGGACAATATCGACCCTGGCTAAAAGTGGTGGGGACATGTCCCACCCGTCCCACCCGCAAATTACGCCTATGCGATTCAGTAATATCGATATATGTAATAGTAAAAACGTATAATAGCTGTAGTAAAACGTATTCAAGAGAGTTTCACATGTAATATGTAGCTATTTAATATGCAAGCATGTCAGCTAATCACAGCAGTGGGCGGTTACATTGAATCCCACTGCAGACACGCACCTTCTAACAGAGCGTTCTAAGCAGAGGCTAAAATCAGGCTAGGAAAAATTGCTTTTTTTATTTCTAAATTATGACTATTTTTGATCTAAAAAACATACAAGGGCAACCCAGGAAACATTATAAAATAATTTAAAAAAAAACATGTCAGGGGACCTTTAAGTTCTCAGTGCTTCGTTTTGCATGTATGGACCCTCATTATGTTACTGTGTTAGTGTGGGGCTATTTTGAGCCTTGTTAGTGGTATTAACTAGTAATTATTTTTTTTACTTAGTAAATGCCCCCAGTACTAGCATTATATGCTACACAGTTTTAGAGATAAAACTCTTTACATTCGATTATCATGAAAACAAATCTCAGAGAACGGTTGACTAGGTAACAATGTTTTATTAGACCAAAGGTTCATTTTGCACCTTTAATAGTTCTCCTTTAATAACTTCACAGCAAAATGTTAATATTCTTAATATTGAAAACATGCTCTTTCTTTCACATCAACTTTCTTCATGGCAGAAAATATGTCTTAAAAAAGTTTGGCCAATGATTTTAGCATGGTTTGACAGTGAGGTGTAATGGAGCTGGGATAAATCTAAGATGGCGTGTTAAAGTGCTCAGACTGAATTTTATACAGGTTAAAGGAACCTTACTGATCTCTAACATTCACCTGTAGGGTCAAAGTCCTGGAAATAGTCAGGGCAGTGTTGCTCGGAGGTGATGCCGGCCTCTGCATCGTCCCAACACAACCATCCATCCCAGGTCCTGTTGCACACCGGGCCAGCTGAATATCGAAAAAAAGCCCAAAATATTTATTAGTTTCTGTGGAGACTGGGAAACCATAACTTCCTGTTATCATTATCAACTATTCTTAGTTATATCCGCCTGTTCCAAAATCTAGTCCCCCATGCGCTTTTGGTGTGCCGCAGGCTATGGAGAGTTTTCCGGATTTGTTATTGTTGTCTTGTTAAGGATGTTAAGAAGGGAGCCCTCTAGGTTTTGGAACAAAGCAAATATTTCACAGCTGTCCTGCCACCCAATGGGACCAAATGCACTCTCCCTAACAATGAATATGAGTCACCTGAGGCTTTTTTGTTTGTTCTTGCTGTACTAATTAAGCACGAATGTATGTCACAGCTTATTATTTTTAATTATTACTTTTATTATATATTACACATTTAGCATGACACATTTATTTTGACATATAATTATAGCTTGGCTAAAATGGATTGGCTTGAAGCTGCTGTGTGTCTTGCAGAATGAATTTCTGAAAAAAAAGGATATCTTCTCAAAACTCTATTATGTACAATGTCTATACCTCTACTTGGTATGAAGTCTTGATTGTTGTCCTTCATGATCTTCTGATAGCACTCAAACTGTGCAGTCACAATCTTGTTTCTGGTAACACTGATGTCATGGTACACATTTTGAGGATGTTGTTGCTGGCTTTCGTTCACCTCAGGACTGGCTAGAACAAATAACTACAAACAGCAAGTGCATTAAAAAGTAATATCTAAGAACAGGCTAATTTCAAGCTTCTTTAATGAGACGTAAATGATAGGTACATGCAAAAATACTGCCCTGTGTGGTTGTTTCTTCAATTATAGGCAATACAGAGTTTCATGCTTTGTGGAAATTGTTTTTTAAATATATAGATTGTATTGTTTTTCCTACCCCAAACTCTAAAAACAACTCTTGTTGAAACATATGCTAAATAACTAATCTAATCTGTCCAAGAGCCAGATTTACTAACACTAACAAGCTGTGCCAGTGCAAACCCTCTTTTGGCATTAAAAAACTAGTGTCATAATTTCCTGAATAAACGCAGTGAAAAAATAGCACTGAAAAGGCGTGGACACAGTTGTTTTGTGGCTATATGTAGGGTTTTCCCTTTTCATTTAAATGAATCATGCAAGGTGACTTACTAAGGTTTGACCAAGTCAATTGACTGGTATTTGCACTATTATTTACCACCCAAAAAATGCATGGCTTAAATCAGGCACTAATTTGCGCTGAAATTAAATTGAAATTTGAAATGATCCGGGTGCACCTGTTTTCTTTCATTTGCACATCGTCAATAGATCACACGCAGAACTGTCCACTCCCATCTGCGCTTTTTTGCAATTGCGCTCTCACGCTAATTTGCCCTGTTTAGTAAATCTGGCCCCTAATCTCTTATTTGTTTTTAAAGGGGTGATGAACTGAGAAATCAAATTTTCCTTGAGCTTTTGACATCTAAGAGGTCATCATATTATAAGAATATCCTGTAAGTTTCAGAACAGAAAACATCCTTGTTAGTCCAATAAAAGCTTTTATTGACACCAGCCTCAGCAAATGACTCGTTTTTCAAAGTGGGGAACTATAACGACAGGATAAGAGGATAAAACCCCACCCCCGCAGAAGAAGATCAACGCCCACTTCAACATGGTCGGTTTAGCCCCGCCCACCGATTCGTGCATTACACACATAGCTAAATAACATAGGCCACCTCGTGATGACAAACCTGGGGCCCGTTTCAATAAGGAGGTTCAACCAACTCTTAGTTAAAGCTTGAACTCTGAGTTGACTTACCCTGAGATGGGAAACTCTGAGTTTTCGGTTTCAGAACAGCTGAAATGAGTTAGTTCAATCAACTCTGAGTTGACTGACTCTTGCTGCGTCCCAATTCGCTTACTTATACTACGCCCTAAAAGTAAGTACTCTTTTTGTGAGGAAAAAGTACATACTTTTGAGTGTATAGCAAAATAGGCAAGCTTTGGGACATACTATCACGTCATCTTTAACGGATGGCTCTGTCGCATGCTGCGTGCATCCTGTCACGTAAACTGCCCTGTCAATCATCTTGTCACAGTTAAAATCCTCCATTCTATCTAATTTTATTTCCTACCATTTCGGAGAGCACATTCATCTGCCAGTTGTGGGCCTTTCATGCTCTCCTCGTGTGTTTGCAATTTGAATATAATGATGCATTTAAAACGTAATGGCTGAACGTGTCTTTACAAAAGTTCACAATGCTGCTGCAAATGCAATACAATGTGGACAAGATTAAATAAATTCATTTTCGTCAGGTTAGATACTGATAATTAATCACTCAAAGAAGCTCTTTATCTAAACCTCTCTACACAACCGCGGGGACTCGCGCGTCCTCCGTATCGACTACATGTCTGTAGTTTTTTTTTAACACATTTCAGTCGTGTTTGTAGTTCTAACCGAATTCTCGTCCAACGCGTAATGGTTTGTGGGCAATATCAGCCGTTAGAGTGTGCATCGATCTACACTTCGGATTCTGACCGGAAAAAGTTGACCATCCGGGTATCTTTGAAACACTAATTTCAACATACTACGATTTGGGACGTACTAATTCTATTTTCGAATACTATTTAGGATGGATAGTATGCGAATTGGGACGCAGGGTCTGAGTTAAGCGCGTGCACTACAACTATAAAAAGCCATTATCAATGGAGCGCAGATATTATGAGTCACCATGGCAACAGCCAGACAAAAAGAGGTGTTGGGTGTGATTAATTACCAAGTAATCTAAATATTGTAGTTTAATTAAAGGGATTACTCTTAATTCTTCTGTAATTTAAAATAAAATATGACGCAATTAAATTAAATAGGCTACTGCATAAACTATAGACCAATTCAGTATAAAACAATAGTGGATTTAACATACATTTTTAAAAGGTATATTTTTTATGTAACCTTCTCCCTCTACACACTTTGATCAATTCAAGAATAATTCATGCAATTGTATATTGTTAATTTGAAAGCATTAAAAGTGCCGTTTCTTGTCTCTCCTCCTTGTAGGCCTATTGTTCAAGTGGTTGAGGTTGATATAGGATTTAGCAATTAGTAATATGTAGACCAATACTTTCTAGAGAGAGTAGCCTAATTATTGCATTAATCTAACTACACCGTTGAAGATGTCATTTGTAGTTAATAATTCATAACTATTTTAGAGTAACTTACTGCTATAATATAGAGGTGAAACTGGAAGAATGTTATTCAACCTAAAGTTAGGCTACTATTACTTTGATAGATTTTTACTAAAGTAAAAGTAAAAATACCAGTCTAAAAATCAACTCAAGTAAAAAGTAGTTAATTTAAAACATGAGTAAAAGTTGCTGAGTAACTTGTTTAACAGCGGGGGTGGGGTGGGGGACTCCTCCATGTGGGGAGAGTTTCACAGAATGAGAACTGTCACAGAAAATATCACGTTTTTTGGTATTAAACAATTATTAAATATATAAACTGCATTCTTAAATTATGGTTATTATTATCATCAGTTAAAATGACAGTTAAATAAATTAAACATTTGTTCAATAAAACATATCTAATCAACTAACTTCAATAATTGATTATGAATAAGATTAACATCTTATTTTTTATCATTAATAACTTATTAAATTATGTTTGAAAAATAACTGAGTTCTATTAAATTTTTTTTATTCCAATTTTTTAAATGATTTAATAGAAATATATTATCAAAAACGGTGGTAATCAAATAAAAGTTTAACAAACGTTTTAAATCCTTTTTTTTTTTTTTTTTGGCAAAGTGCTGCAAAACAGATTTAGTCAACTAAACCATGGACAAACAATATATATTCCTTAAAGAATGTGTAAATACATTTTAGTATTATTGTTTGTGTTTAAACAGCACTTCTATTTAAAAAGGGGGAGGAGACTGCAATAAACTCTGGGTTTACTGAAGAAAACCTGCTCCCGACCAAGTTACCATGGTAACTGACTCTGAGTATAAGTTACCTCTCTTTCAGAAACGGGCTTGACTTACTCTGCTTTCTCAGGTTTAACTTACCTCCCTTTCTGAAACGGAAAACCCAGAGTTTCCCTCATTTCAGGGTTAACATACTCAGAGTTTTCACTTAACCTCCTTTCTGAAACAGGCCCCAGATCGAGCTACCGAACAAAACAAAATATTGTGCAGTGCCTGGTTGTGGAAGAAGATAGACACTGCATATGCTTCCTCTGGATTCCAAAAGGACTGCATGGATAAACTTTATTTTTAATGACATTCCAGCAGATGAGGTAAGACAACAGAGGTTGTCCGTCTGTTTGCTTCATTTCACTGAGGATTGTTTTGTAAACAAGACTGGATTTACAGACCGTTTAAGAGTAAAGATCTGATGTGCCATCTATATTGGATCTGACAGGAATGGTGCAACACATAGACTCTGGGTCGAACGTGTATCGGCGAATCATTCCGGTTGCCATTTTACAACATTGGACATTATCAACACAATTTCCCCCAAGTGCATTGACGGGTGAGTTGAAATTCATTATAATATGCAAAACTGTTAAAACTGTTATCCACTCACAGCAGTGGGCATTTACTTCCAAGTCTGCAATGTGAGACTGATTAAAACATCAGTAATAGCCCTAGATGATTTTAATAGCTTTTACCTGTCTTGAAAAAGGCATTTGCTAACAAATGGCTAAATGGCACCACAGAGGTTGTGAAACGTCAACCCCCTGAACAGGTAAACTCATCTGCTCACTAGTCTGCTTTTACATCCTCATTGTGTTTATAATCACACTCTTGCAAATTATTCGAACTGTTCTAACATATGATACTGTTTTTTTTAAAGTAAAGACTGAAAGAGTTAGAAAGCTTAATGGACGTAACGTTGAAATAATGTGACGGTGGTGCCACATTATGTTTAGCTTTTTACGTCTACAAAACTTCAATCATAAACTATTAAGAATCATAAACTTTTGTTGGTCACAGAGCTTACTTTCTGCAATAATATAAAAGCCACTAAAAACTCCTTTTGCGTCGAGGGAACCAGGTTGCTTACTTTTGGGTTAGCCAACAAAATATGTAATAACTTTTTTCATTTTCATTTCATTTATTCGGTTTGGTCATTTCCAGATCATTCCATAACTGTAGAACTTTAAATTTTAAAGGTACAGATATCTTATAGATGTTTATAAAAATCATGTGGGAAATAATCTTTCACCTCAGTGACAGATCCCAGCAGAAAAAGACAAATCGTCCAGTAGCTAGCTTTCATCTTCTTTGGCATTTCCAGTGACCCAGTATCGATCTGCAAGGAAGGTAACATCAATAAAACACTGTGCACAGTTCTAAGCACTCTTATACTGTTACTGACACAAACAGAAGTACTTGTCTTCTTTTCTAGCCTATTGCAAACATAGACCCACTCTCACCACGCAAAAACATGCAGAATATACATACAGAAAACGTCTCGGTTAAGGATGTAACCCTCGTTCCCTGAGTAGGGAACGGAGACGTTACGTCGGAATGACGGAGATTGGGGGTTTCGCATAGAAAGCCAATCCTCTTCGAGTATTTAAAAACGAGCCAATGGCATGAAAATGACTTGGGGCTGCGGAATTTGCATAGCGTAACTCCGCCCCACCTCGTGGGTATAAAAGGAGGAAGTGAACGCAACCGCAGTATGTCTTCGCTGAGGAGCCGAGACTGAACTCAGGCGTCTACCCAGCGGTACAGCTGAAGTGGCAAGGAGACGTAACGTCTCCGTTCCCTACTCAGGGAACGAGGGTTACATCCGTAACCGAGACGTTCCCTTTCGTAGTCACTCCGAGTTACGTCGGAATGACGGAGAATGGGGTCCGGTGCCATCACGCCATCTTCACAGCTGTCTTCCAGTGCCCTGCGAAAGTCTGGACTCCTAATAACTTAGCTTATAACCAGGAGTTACCTACTTTAACACAGGAATACCAAGGTACACTGGGAACATATCCCGGGAGGAATATGCCACAGTATGCCTACCGTAGGGAGGACTTAAGAATACACATATGGTCCTTTTAGGGAACTTCATATGGGAAACACTGAAGCACCAACCTAAGGGTGGCTAGAAACTTAACTCCAGGAGTGGCAGATGGCTTGCCAAGGGAAGACACATGCTCAGAAAAGCTTACAGTGGAGAATACACATGTGACAGTTACCAGAGGGAACCGTGCACACGGAGGCACCTAGCCGGCATCCAGAGCAAGTGCAGTGGTGCCAGCATCAGAAGTGCTGGAGGACTCAGGGCTTCAATGGAAGACTCAACTGAGGAATATCGCACTTATCCAGTCCGAGGACTGGAATGGCGAGCAACCGAAGACACCAGAGCGGGTCCAGTACTAGTGGGAGCGAGTACGCGAGAGGACACAGGCTCTACTTATAGAATCTTGCGAAGGTGTTTGGTGTCGCCCAGCCTGCAGCTCTGCATATGTCTGTTAGCGAGGCGCTATGCGCTAAGCCCAAGAGGAAGCCACACTCCGTGGGTGGGCCGTCACACAAAGGGGGCACGGTCGACCTTGCTGTTGGTAAGCCAAAAAAATGGCGTCCACTATCCAGTGAGACAGCTGTTGCTGTGAGAGAGCCCTTCCCTTCTGGCTCCCCCCATAACAGACAAAGAGCTGGTCTGAGGTCCTGAAACACCGCGTTCTGTCAACGTAGGCACGGGGCGCACGTACCGGACAGAGCAGTGCCAAGGCTGGGTCTGCCTCCTCCAGGGGCAGCGCTTGCAGGTTCACCACCTGGTCCCGGAAGGGAGTGGTAGGAAACTTGGGCACATTTCCAGGCCGGTGTTTCAAGATCACTTGAGAGTAAGCCGGCCCGAATTCCAGGCACGCTTCGTCAACGGAGAATGCGAGCAGGTCCCCTACCCTCTTGATGGAGGCCAATGCAACCAGGAGCGCTGTCTTCATGGACAGAAACTTTAACTCTACCGATTGAAAGGCTCAAAGGGAGGCCTCTGCAGAGCACTTAAAACTACTGAGAGGTCCCAAGAGGGCACGAGGGGAGGGCGAGGCGGATTCAATCCCCTCGCTCCCCTCAGGAACCTGATGACCAGGTCGTGCCTTCCCACAGACTTACCTTCCACTGCATCATGAGACGCGGCAATGGACGTAAACCTAAAGGGTGGAGGGCGACAGCCTATGCTCCAACCCTTCTTGCAGGAAGGAAGGCACGATACCGATCGGACATCTCCGGGGGTCTTCTCCACGGGGGAGCACCAGTTGACGAAGAGGTTCCACTTCAACGCGTAGAGGTGTCTCGTGGAACGAGACCCGAACTGGTCCCAAATCAGCTGGACTGTCTGGGGATGGAGTCGCCATTCGCCGGAGATGGGCGGACCCGTGACAGCTCGTCGGCTGCCAGGTTCCGGTCTCCTGGAATGTAAACGGCACGAAGAGACCTCAGGTGCTTCTGACTCCATAACAGGAGGTGGCGTGCGAGCTGCGACATCCGACGTGAGCGTAGACCACCCTGGTGGTTGATATACGCTATCGTAGCGGTATTGTCTGAACGGACAAGTACGCGTTGACCCCTGAGTAGTGCTCGAAAGCGGTGCAGGGCCGGGCGTACTGCCAGCAGCTCGAGGCAATTAATGTGCATGAGGCGCTGGGGTCCTGTCCAGGAACCTGCGGCTGCATGACCATTGCACATGGCTCCCCAACCCGTGGTAGAGGCATCCGTGGAGACAACGACATGCCCGGAAACTCACAGCAGAGGGACCCCAGCCAGTAAAAAGCTGAGGTTCGACCACGGGAAGAAGATCTGACCGCAGTTCGGAGTGAGCAAGCCGCGATGCCATGCCCACCTCGGGACTCGATCGCGAAGCCACAGCTGAAGCGGTCTCATATGAAGCAATCCGAGTGGCGTCGCCGCAGCTGCGGATGCCATATGCCCCAGGAGCCTCTGAAGAGTTTCAGATGGACGCGCTCTTGCCCTTAACTGTCGGAGAAAAGTCAGCAGTGAGTGCGCGCGCTCGCTCGTTAGCTGCGCGGACATGGCGACCGAGTCTATCTCCATTCTGAGAAAAGAGATCCTCTGCACGGGGCAAAGTTAGCTCTTCTCTCAATTGACCCGAAGGCCTAGACGGCCTAGGTGCCGTAGCACAAGTTCTCTGTTTTCGCAAACCTGCTCTCGAGAGTGTGCTAGGATAAGCCAATCGTCGAGGTAGTTCAGGATGCGAACCCCGTGTTCGCGAAGGGGAACAAGGGCTGCCTCGACAATCTTCGTAAAGACGCGAGGAGACAGAGCTAAGCCGAATGGGAGAACCGTGTACTGATATGCCTCTCCCTCGAACGCAACTGAAGAAACAGTCTGTGTCGAGGTAAGATGGAGAGTCTCCATAGGAGACATGAAGTACACGTCCTTCAGGTACATCGCTGCAAACCAATCCTGAGGCCAGACGCACTCGAAAATGCGCTTGGCCGTGAGCATTTTGACCGGCAGAGCACGGCTCAAAACGCGAAGATCTAGGATCGGTCGTAACCCACCGGTCTTCTTGGGGACAATGAAGTAAGGCTGTAAGCCCAGACCTCATCTCGGCTGGAGGGACAGTCTCGATTGAACCCTTCGCCAGCAGGGCGGCAATCTCCGTGCAAAAATCATGCAAACTGAGTCGCAAAGCCGAGTCTGATCGTTCAAGCGACCCAACGGGACAGGCTGGGGAGCTCTAACCAAGCTCCCAGAACCGATCCAGTGGGATACCCGAGCCACAGACGTCCCCCCGGAGGGGCAGCGTGGCGGAGAGACCAGCAGACGCGGAGGTGCTATCCCCCCACCCCCCGCGCGGGTGCAAAGTCGAGCTCCGTGCCCTGACAGAGGAGACTAGGGAAGGACCAGCTTTCCACGGGGGTCTGCTCTGCCGGGGGCTTGGCGATAGAGGGGGATGGGGGCGGCGTGGTCCAGGGACGACACACACTCCCATCCGCACCCTCAGAGACAGAGGAGAATGAGAGTGGCGAGGCACGGGGCCATTGCACACCTTGCTCTGTGTGCTCGGAGATGGAATGCAGCTCTTGAGAAAAGGTTCTCCCCCAGCCCTCCACCGGGGGAAGGAGTGGGCCTGACCACACCCTGAAGAACTGTAAGCCATAGCCGAGCTGCCCGTAACGGGACCGACGCAGCGGCGCTGGTACGGGCAGGGGCGCCTCCCCACAACCACCTCCACTGCACGGCCCGGTGCTGCAGGGACCAGACGGGAGGGGGCAGAAGTAGCAGGAGGGCGCATTCGGCGGCAAGCGGACTGAAGCATCCTGAGACGGCGAGAGTCAGAGTCAGAGTCAGATAAGCCACAGTCCGCTTCTGGGCGGCCGAGAACGTTGGGCAGCGTTTTCGACCGCGCCGCCGAAGAGGCTAGCCTTGGGATATGGGAAAGTTGAGGAACTGGTTCACTCAGCCTCACGCACATCGACCAGGTTAAGCCAAAAATGTCTGACCACACGTGTGGACATCACCTGACTCAGGGGGCATGCGGTCACCTTCGTCGCTCGTAGAGCAAGATCGGTGACGGCAGGCAGCTCAAGGATGAGCCCTGAATCAGCCCTACCCTCGTGCATGTCATTGAACACCCCTGAGAATGACAATAACATACAGTGAGGTGGCAGCCTGCCCCGCAGCTCCATAGGTCCCCGCCACCGGAGTAGACAAGAACCTACAGGCATTGGAGGGGTGCCTAGGGCTGCCACACCGAGTGGAAGCACTGTGGGGACACATTAGTGTTGCCACAGCACACTCCACAGGGGGGAACCCCAGTGCACCCTAGACTGCGGCCTCCAAGAGGGCAGAGAAGGTGGAAGAGGCCGCTGAGTGATCGTGATAAGTCAAAGGAGACTACCACGATCTAATGGCCTCTTCATGCACATCCGGGAAGAAAGGATCTGGGTTCGCCACCCCAAAAACCAATCATCAGCCTTAAGTGCTCGGGATATGGCAGAATTTTCCACACAAACCCGATACTCGTGGCAGCCCGGGAGGCATAGCTGTGAGCCCTGAATCAAACCTGCCATGCTAGCACATCCGAGGACAGCAGCACAGATGAGCCATCGTCAGAGGACTCCAGCTCACCTTGTGATGCGGCGATAAACATGATTTCATCAGCTGGGGGACCGAATGAGAACGCGGGCCCACGGACGGCCCCGCCCACTCACTCTGGACCACGTGGGTTGCAATGTGCAAGACGGGGTGTGGACCGAGGAATTTCGTCGGTTTAGTTCTAGACCTGACGTCTTTTTGGTCACCCTGGAATTATCTCACGTGGAGAAAATGGTTCGGGTT